CTGGGGGCTATAGAGGGGTGCAGAGAGAGGTGGGGTCTAAATATATTGTATGAAGTTCATAAAAATTCAATTATAAAAGGAAAAGATTAGTGACAATATATTCAAGATAGCTGAATAGAACATTTAGCTAAATGGGGCTAGCTGTAGATAAAAGGTTTTTTTTTTTTTAATGAGGAAAAAAGAATATACATGCTGCCAAGTAGACTCCACATGAATATCTGAGCCAGGCTGGCACTCCTCTGGACAGGGATGTGGTCTACTGGCAGGTCCCTTTACTGAGCATTCTAAGCTTCATAGGGCAATTGTCCTGGTTAGTTTTTGTCAACTTGGATATACAAACTAGGGTCATTTGGGACAGGAACTCTCAACTGAAGAATTTCCTCCATCGGACTGGCCTATGAGCACACCTGTAGGGCACTCCTTAATTGTTATCTGATATACAAGGGCCCAGCCCACTGTGGGCAGTGTCATCCCTAGGCAGTTGGGCCTGGACTGTATAAGAAACGTAGCTGAGCAAGCCAGGGGAGCAAGTCAGTAAAGCGTTCCTCCATGGTCTCTGCTTCAGCTCCTGCCTCCAGGTTCCTGCCTTGAGTTCCTGCCCTGACTTCCCTCAGTGATGGGCTGTCACTTGAAAGTGTAGGATGCAATAAACCCTTTCCTCCCCAAGTTGCTTTCAGTAAGAGTGTTTCATTACAGCAACAGAAAGCAAACTAGAACAACAGCACAGAGAATGCTCAAGACAGGAAGGCTTTCTAAGGCGCTAGAAGAGATGCCTCTGACAATTACATATTGCAGTGAGTGTAGGTTTTGTTTGATGGAGTAGTGGAATAGATATGTGCAAAGATCTGAAAGTCTGTAAAAGTTCTTCAGCATAGTAAGAACAGGATCATCCATGAATTTCCCAGAATTCTTAGCACAAATATGCTTTCAAGGTAATAATGTGGAAATGGGAGCAACAGCATCAGCTTCTAAGGGAGGGTCTCTGAGAGGTAGGACCCACAAGGACCCTAAGCAAGAAAGCCCACAGGGTGAGTCTGTCTGGCCACAGTTCCTGCCTTTCCCTCCTCACCTGCAACCCTACCCTCACTGACTTTTGCTGCTAAGCTGGTCAGTGAAACTGACCTCCCCTCTGATGCTGGGAGGTAAGCTGTCCTCCTGCCTGAAGTGGCCTGTCTTCATCCTCCCCACACAGGAAAGAGCCTGAAGTTGACAGGACCACTGAAGTATGTTTTCACACTTCTAATGTGGAATCAGCAGCTTTCTTTATTATGATCTTAGGCATTAGTATTGAGTGAGAAAAATGAATTCACATGACCCCTGGTGTCCCTGGATACTGGGATGACACTTGTGGACCCCTTAGTCAAAAGGCTGAGCATGATGACTAACAATGAGGTAACAAGTGTAGGCAAGCGCAGAACACAGGCCTGGCTGAGGAATCCCAGTGAGCTCTAGCTCTTTGGCTTCCCACCGTGTCATCCTGAGCAGACTACGCATTGTCTGTGGTCAGGGCACAGCACATATGGCTCTATCTGCTGGGTCAACTCAAACCAGTGTTGGTGACAGGCTCTGCAAATGACAGGGGTTCCTACCCACCTGTGTGTGGGATATCACCAATGAAAAACAAGTATGACCTTCATCCTAGTGCCCAAAGAGTTCAAGGAAAATGGGTCAACCAATCATACAAAGGGGAAGAAGCTGTGTTCTTAAGCTACTGAGCAAAACTTCAAGTGAGTGCTGGGAAAGGGTAAAAAGTACATTGAATGGACAGGAAGGTAACAGGAATTTATAAGACAGACTATTTATGTGTATGTGTTCTGTTTGGGTTTGTTTAATGTTTGTTTATTTGGTCCTTTGATTGATTGGTTGGTTTTTGACACAGGGTCTCCCTGTAACCCTGGCTGACCTGGAACTCACTCTGTAGACCAGGCTGGCCTCAGTTTCACAGAGATCTACTTCCCTCTGCCTTCTGAGTGCTGGGATTAAAGACATGTGCTGTCATGCCCGACTTAAGTGTGTGTTCTGAAAAAGAATAGAAAGTTAAAATTTCCTATCACTAGACAAATGAGGATTTTTTTTCAGAAAAAGTTCATCAAATCAATAATGCCCAATAAATGCACAGCAATAGAACATTATTCCTGTTTCATCAGGGGCATCCCTGTCCACTTCTTCATCCAAGTCAGGGTCCTCCCTTTCTCCCAGCTGATCACGTACAGTGCTGACATCCCTTCTATGCTGCACTTGCTGTTCCTAGGTTTTCCTCCCCTGTCTATCCCACTCCAACCTGGAAGTCCTGTGGAATGAAGGGACATAGTCATTTAACTGTACAGCTCTATAATGTTTTTATGTGTATGAATGTATTGCCTGCCTGTGTATAAGTGTACCTGTATTGTGCAATATCTGTGGAGATCAGAAGAAGGCGTTGGATCCCTAGAACTGGAATTACAGATGCTTGTTAGCTGCTATGTGGGTGCTGAGACTCAAACCTGGGTCCTCTGCAGGAGCAGTCAGTGCACTTAACTGCTGAGCCTGTTAACTTTACATCTCTAGATCAAAGGGGTGGTGGAGGAGGAGCAGGTGGTATGGAAGTGAGGAGACCTTGGGGTTCTTAGCTGGCATCCCATGGGAAAAGCTGCTTGTTTTCCCATCATGGCGAAGGACATGGGCCCCAGTGTCACAAAGAACTGGCCGCCACACCTGATGAGACTCACCTAGCTCCCAAGAGGAGAGGGGTATGTCAGTGAGCAGCCAGAAAGCTGCATATAGCATGCTCGGCACATAGCTGCCTGTAGGCGGCGCTCCAGCACCAGAAGCCACAATCATTCGCTCCGCATTCTAGCCCAGGAAGCTGCTAATGCCCCAGGTAGGGGCTGAAATAGGGGTTAGTAAGGGAAATTGTCACTGGATCTCATCTGACTCAGGTGTGCAGGCAGACACTTGACAGGAAAGGGACTTAGAGAAAGAAAATAGAGGCGCAGGCTAGCAGAAACTGCCCTGCCCTCCCTCTTCAGATGACTTGACTCAGCCCTCTTCCATCTCTCAAATCTCCTCTAGTCTTTTGTAACTTTTCCTCTTTCTCTTTTATCACTACCCACTGTCTACCTGCCTTTTTTTTCCTCATGCACAGGCAGCAGGAATTTGGAGCATGTCAGCCCTGAATTCAAGTCTTTGGTTGATATACATCTGGGTGGCCCTGGGAATGTTGTACCCACTACCATGGAGCCTTGTTTCCAAGCCAACTGGTGCACCATGCCTAAAGCACACAAATACCTAAAGGTGAGTATAGGCTGTGCACACAGGGCCCCTAGCACAGCATGACAGTGACACTTGTTGAGCACCATGATCAAGAATTTCTAATCCTTCCTTGCTCTACTCCCTCCCCATCTCCCAAGCCCATTTATTCACTTCCCATGGGGTAGATGATGGTTAATTGTATATGCCAACTTGGAGATCATTTGTTTAGTCAAACACTAGTCTAGATGTTGCCATAGGTTTTTTCAGATGTGATTGTTACACATTTATTTATTCATTTTTATTTGTGTGTGTGTGTGTGTGTGTGTGCGCGCGCGCGCGCACATAGTTGTATGTGGAGACCAGAGGTTGACAGTGGGTGTATTTCTCAATTACTGTCTGCCCTATTTTTTGAGCCAGGGTCTCTCATTGAACCTGAAGCTCATCAATTTGGCTAGACCTGCTGACCAATGAACTGTGATCTGTTTGTCTCTGCCTTCCCCTAAGCACTGTGGTTACAGATGTGTGGCACCACACCTGGATGATGGTGATCAGAACCCAGGTCCTCATGCTTGTGCAACAGGCCCTTTTTTTTTTTTTTTCCAACAAGCACTTTAAGCCCAGGACTTAAGATTTTAAGGAGGTTCCATCAGCCACCCTTCCCCTGCATCTCTGACACTCCTGGAAAGCTGATGAGGGACTACTAGGATGAAGAAAAGTAAAGTCATGATACAAGATGGGGAAAGTCTCCAGGAGGGGAGTAGGGGCCACTTGCTTCTTCCTGGTGCTCACCCTGGTGCTCACCCTTACCTTATACAGCAGCAACAGAACTATTTCTCGCATGGCAGTGGGAGCTGTTTGCACTTCCCAAGAGACAATGTGTTCCTGCAGGCAATGTGTTGCTGCACTACATGGTCCAAACCCTGTACCAAGCTCACACCATGCAAGACACACAATGTATATTTGTGACATAACCAAATAAAGGAATTCAACAAGCAAACATTATGAGGAAAAATAGATTTGAAAACATGTTTTTAAAAAAATAATATGGGGCGGGGCTGGAAAGACAGCTCAGTAGTTAAGAGCACTGGCTGTTCTTGTAGAAGACCCAGATTCGAATCCCAGCACCCACATGGCAGCTAACAACCATCCATAACTCCAGTTCCAGGGGATTTGACATCCTCTTCTGGCAGGCATTCCATGAAACAAGTGCATGTACATACATGCAGACAATATACTCATACACATAAAATTAAAATAAATTTAAAAAAATAATAATATGAGGGCTGGAGAAATGGATCAACCATTAAGAGCATGTACTGCTCTAACACCTACACTGAGTGGCTCACAACTGCCTATAACTCCAGCTCCAGGGAATCTAATGCCCTCTTCTGGCCTCTGAGGACACTCACATGCATATACCCACACAGAGACACACCCTGAGACACAAAATTAAAATGAAAAGTAACTATTTAAAAAATTAAAATAAGGGGCTAGAAAGATGGCTTGGCAGTTAAGGGCACAGCTGCTCTTGCAGAGGACCTGGGTTCAATTCCCAACATCTACATGGAGTCACAACAACCTGTAACTCTAGTTCCAGGGGATCCAACACCCTCTTCTGACCTCCACAGACACTGCACAACACAGGGGCACTTAGATACATGTAGGTAATACACTAGTGCACATAAAGAAAAAAATAAACAATATGTTTTTAAATTAAATAAAAAAATTTGTCCTATTTTTTTGAAAAAAAATACACAGTATCAGATTACCTGGTGACTGCTGGTCTCAGATACTTTAACATCCAAAGATCCTGCCAGGACAGCATACCAATTAGTTCCAATATCACCCTGGCGAAATACTGAAAAAGAAACAGTGACATAAATACACTGCATACAGGTTGGTTTTACTGTATAACCTGACTGTTTTTCACTAGTTATTCTAAGTATGACATGCTCCCACCCTTCCCTCATCTACTCTCACAAAAATACATGGTTTCTTTTCTCTCTCTTATGTAGCCACAAAGCTTGTATTCAACATTCTAGGAAGCAGAACTCTATCAACAAAAGTCTTCCAGATATAGGGCTCCAATAACTGATCGCCCCAAAAGCCATAAGATCCTTTCACTTTAAGAACTCACTAATGTTGAGTATAACTTATCTTAAATACACTTCAGTATATTGGGACTCTTGGAAAATTATGACTCTTAAATGGGACACCCAGTAACAAGATTGTTTGATTCACCGGACCATGCTGCCCAGTTTCCTGGATCTATATTAAAAGCAAAACGACCATGGGGGCACACACCATAATCACACCATAAGAAGGTTGATGCAAGAGAACCCTGAGGCCAGCCAGAGGCACATAGTGAGACCATCAGCAAATAAATAAGTTAATAAATAACTGAATGACTGTAACCTGTTTCCTAGACTGACATGTTTCCTTTTAAATTAACCAATAAATAATTTAATTTCCTCTGTTTTATAAAAATTTAAAGGACTGAATTATCATTGTTTATTTTCTTGTTCATTTGATAAATTCACTGCCTTAAGCAAATAATGCTAATCAGAAATTTCTGAATGTGATTTTTCTCTGAGTTTGTAATCTCAGGGAGAAGCCATTTAGATATTTAGGTCAAACTGTAGCTTCCATATTATGTTAAGATCCGACTTTGGAAAGTCATTCTGAATACTAGTTTCAAAATCTGTGCAAACAAACTCTCCTCTTAAATATCCCAACTAAGTAATCACATAAATGATACTTTTAAAGATCTGTTTATTTATATTTTTGTGTATGAGTGTTTTGCTTGCGTGGATGTGTGTGAACCGCATGAGTATCTGGTGCCCACAGAGTCCAGAAGATTCTCCAGAACTGGAGTTGTAGATGGTTGTGAGCCACCATATGGGTGCTGGGAACTAAACTCTGGGCCTCTGGAAGAGCAGCAAGTGCTTTTAAATACTGGGCCATCTCTTCAGTAAAAATGTGACCATCTGTTGTGTGTCCCTGGGAACTTCAAAGGACGCATACAAAATACTACTGGTCATCTCTAGGTCTGGGATGGATGACCGGTGACATTTTATTGTTAATTTCTTTTTTATATTTATTTTTATTTTATGTGTATGAGTGTATTGCCTGCATGTATTTAAGTGCACCCCTGTTGTGCAATGCCCATGGAGGTCAGAAAAGGGCTTTGAATTCCCCTGGAGCTGGAGTTACAGATGGTTGTTAGCCGCCATATGGATGCTAGGAATTGAAACAGGGTTCTCTGCAAGAGCAGCCAGTGCTCTTAAGTGCTGATCTGTCTCTCCAGCCCCTGTTGCTAATTTCTTAAATGTTCTATAATATTGTGAGGGTCTCCGCTTTCCTACTCAGAGCCCTATATGCATGACCTCTTACTCAACTGAACCAGGTTTTATACAGGTTTCCACCCTGGTGCAGAGCTGGGTCTGAGAGCATAATGGGGTCCTTCTCTGGCTCCACTGGCATGATCAAGAATGTTCTAATCAGTCCTGGACTGATTAGTTCATTATCTTTGCCAATGATTGGTTTAGACTTTGAGTATACGATGAAACTCTGGCCAACGGCACAATACAGGAAGTCAGCTGGGAGACTTCTGAAAAAGATACAAGAAAAAAACAGTTCTCCCCAAGGATCTGTGGATACACACAAATGCCTTCAACTTCTGTAGCTGTCTGAGGTACAAGTACAGCACCTGAGGTGCAAGGGGAGCAGACAGGACCTGAACCACATCACTTGAATCATCTCATCTCAGGGCTTTATAAATGAG